TCAGTCTAAAACTAAAGTGTAGCACATATTAGATCTCCAGAGCAATATCACATATTCCAGCTGCGAATACACCTGCAAAGATAGATATACCAAATGTATGACGGACTTCCATCCTAGAGGCCCAGGGCACCAATCTTGGTGATCCACATAAATTAGCAACTAGCCAATCATCTGCCCCTACACAAAAGTGTGGCGGACCCCTTAGTTCAAAGAATTCACACCCTTAGAAGAGGAAATCCATGGCACAAGGTCCCAAAGAGCCTACCATGAATCCGACTATCGCTTACTCATTCTATCCAACTCATGAGGAAATTCTAGATTATGGAAACTGTCACATCCCAGCCCGGGCCCCCACCACATCCCGGGCTCGACTCCACCGTAGCACAATATTGTCCACTTTGGGCCCCTACCACGCCCTCATGGTTTTGTTTCTGGGAACTCACAAGCAACTTCCCAGTGGGTCACCCATCTTGGGAATCCTCTCGTCCGAACTCGCTTAACTTCGGAGTTCCTACGGAACCCGAAGCCAGTGAGCTCCCAAAAGGCCTCGTGCTAGGTAGAGATGGGAATAAACATATAAGGCTTATAGGATCCACTCCCTTGGGCAATGTGGGATCTTACAGAAGCATCCTTGAAGAGACAAATCCTCCTCCCGAGAATTATGAGACTTCAGTCTATTATACTAGCTTTGATGGTGTGTGGCGCAGAAATAAGATGATTGTCGATGATTCATTAGACTATGCAGTAGCTACTGAGATCATGTTGAGCATTTACATTGAACGCGATCGTGTTCCATTGATGAATGTTGACGTAGAACTGATTGTTCAAACTGAAAAAAGAAAAAAAACAATCTAAGTCAAACTCAATTCGCTTGCGAAAGATAAGGTGTTTGGACCTGTAGATCCTACTCCTCCACATGTGAAGCCCATTGGCTACAAGTGGGTTTTCGTTCGGAAGCGTAATGAGAAGAGCGAAATTGTGCATTACAAAGCTCATCTTGTTGCACAAGGCTTCTCACAACACCATGAGATTGACTATGATGAAACTTATTCACCCGTTATGGATGTGATTACTTTTCGCTACCTTATCAGTTTGGTAGTTTCCGAAAAACTGAGTATGCAGCTGATGGACGTAGTAACTGTGTATCTCTATGAAGATCTTGATATGAAAATTTATATCAAAGTTCCCGAAGGACTTACATTAACTGATTCAAATATTTACAAACCCCGGAACACGCTCTCAATTCGGCTGAGGCATTCACTCTAAGGTTTGAAGCAATCTGGAAGAATATGGTATAACCATCTGAGTGAGTATTTGACTAGTTAGGGATATGTGAACAACGAACTATACCCTTGTGTGTTCATTGAGAAGTCACATTCTGGATTTGCGATTGTTGCAGTATATATTGATGACATAAACCTTATCAGAACTCTTAAAGAGCTCGTGAGAACTATCGTGAACCTGAGGTTAGAATTTGAGATGAAAGATCTAGGTAAGACTCGATACTGTCTTAGTCTCGAAATAGAGCAATGTTCGGATGAAATCTTAGTACATAAATCGAACTACACCCAGAAGGTGTTGCGCCGCTTTAATAAGGATAAAACAAAACCTTCGAGTACTCCTATGGTTGTTTGATCACTAGATGCAAAATGGGATCCCTTCCATCCAAACAAGGATGATGAAGAGATTTTGGAGCTTGAAGTTCTTTATCTAAGTGCGATAGGCGCTTTATTGTACTTAGCTCAATGCACTAGACCCGACATCTCCTTCGCTGTTAATCTTTTGGCAAGATATAGTAATGCACCAATACGCAGACACTAGACTGGTGTGAAAAACATACTCTGTTACCTTAAAGGTACTACGGATTTGGTCTTGTTCTATCCCTACGGATCCTCGAGTGATGCTGCACCCCTGCTTCTCGAGTCGATTCTCACCTTGTTGGTTATGCCGACTCATGATACTTGTCTGATCCACAAAAGGCGTGTTCTCAAACGGATCATATCTTTACCATTGGAGGCACCACAATCTCTTGGAGGTCAACTAAATAGACCTTAGTTGCCACTTCGTCTAACCATGCTAGAATTCCCGCCTTACTTGAAGCAACACAGGAATGCTTTTGGTTGAGAGCAATAGTGGGCCATATTCGAAGCTCCTGCAATGTTTATCCCGCTGTAGATGTCCCTACGATGATCTTTGAAGACAACACATCATGCATCGAATAGCTCAAGAAGGTTTATATCAAAGGAGACAACATCAAGCACATTGCGTTGAAGTTCTTCTTTTCACATCAACAACAAAAGCATTAGAAGATTGAAGTCATGCAAATTCGTTCACAAGATAATCTGGCTAACCTCTTCACCAAATCACTGCCGAATACGATGTTTCAGAAGCTTGTTCATGAAATTGGCATGCGTAAACTTTTTGAGTTGTAACATTGCTATTTCTCTTTGGAATTATGTCAAACTCAATGGGATTATCCTGAAGATGCTTGATCTTAATGTACTCTTTTTCCCTACGATTAGCAGCATTTTTCCCACTGGGTTTTTTTAGTACCTAACTAGGTTTTAACGAGGCACCCACCTTAGGCTAGTCATATCCCTGATGACGTCCTGTAGACGTTTCTTTTGACTTTGCATTTTTCACATATTTTTCCTTAGACTATGGATTTTGTCCATTCTCAAGTTTTTACCATAGCCTTAGGGTTTTTTAGTGAGACTTATACAAGTTCCTACCTTATTGAGAATAAGCATTTTTCCTTAGAATTAGTGCCAACGAGTCGACTTCCACAACTTCTGCATGATGCTAAATCTACTCTGAGTTTTTACACACTCAAGGGGGAGTGTTGTAAACTTTTCTAGTTTAAGCGTGATTGTGTAAATCCTATATTATATTTGATTCTAGTTATCCTTTCCTATTACGACTTGTATTCCTTGGGGATGAAGGAATTTATTCTCTCCGTTTTACTACTATAAATAAAGGCACTATGTAGGAAGGATAACACATACATTCCCCTACAATTATACATACACATCTCTCTCAATCTCTTCTCCTTGCCACCGGCCTTCTTACCCTTTGTTAGATAAAATAGGCTACAACATTCTATAATTTATAATTTCGTCATTTTAGAATTTCTTAGTGATTTAAATTTTCTCATCCAAACACGGTATTAGCTTTCGATTTTCTCTCTAAACTTTTATATTAAAAAATTAAGGACTCAAACTCATTTTTAGCTTTCGATTTCCTCCTTATCGTCTAGATTTCCATATATTATGTGCCAATTCTTGTTAAAGGGAAGTATGTGAACAACATGTAAGAATAATTAAGTCACTTCACTCTTCAAAATAATTAAAAAACTGAAAAATAAAATCAAAACAAAACTGTCCCTCTCTTATCTTCCCGTCACCTCCTATCCTCCATTTCATTTTTCACTACTTTTCATGATGTGATTGCCTTCATGAGTAGCTAAATTATTCTTTGTCTTGGAGCAGGTACCGTCTTTTTTTATCTCTTCGACAAATAATAATTTTTTTTTTGTAGTACATTGATATTTTTACATTAAAAAAATGGGGAGTTCTGCTAAACCATACAATGGATAACCTAATTTGGTATCGAATTCGCCATTCACGATATTCGAACCTAAGACCACTCACTTCCAAGAGAAGATGAATACCAACAAACCGTAGTACTGAATGACGAAAAATAATAATATTAACAAAAGCAATTCCAAAGCAATGCATTAGTATACAAACCTGATAGCCATATTTAGTCGTGCATGTTATTACTTTAGAGTAAACTAGAGGAAAAATTTAGTACAGATTGTGATGACTTGTTTTGGGATATTATTTTTGAGTCTGTATATTTGTTGGTGAACATTTTGGCCACAACCATTTTTACGACAACCTACAAAGATGGAACCCCACTTGAAAATATTTGGATAGATGAGTGGACAGGATAAGCTACTTCTTCATTTGAGCGACTTACTTCCTTTGAATACAGTAGAGGACATGCTTCAGACATATGTGTCCATAATTTCTTGACTGGAACAGATAAGGGCTCTTAAGACAACAATAATCTTTGTTATCAAACAGGATTTAGATATGTACGTAATACCTACTGCTTTTAAAAAAGTATCCACTCTTCAAAAAATTAATAAGATCTTATGTGTACACACGGATTGAGTTTGCTCGTGTTCATTAGAAATCTATTCAGGGATGAGTTACGTGAGCAGGAATAGGTGCAAACCGATGTGTTTTGGCAGATCCTAAATTTTAAATATCTCGTAGAACAAAATCCTTGTGGCGGAAGTTGATTTGTATGATCGGTCAACCTACAAAATGGTAAACGGTAAGAGTCTGATTATTCAATTACTAATTTTTAGCCCGTTATTATCAATTTATCTTCTGAAACATGCATGCCAACGGAGCTACTAAAACAAGAGTTCAATCTACTTAGATAACTTTAGCAGATTTTTGCTTTAGTTTCTTAGATTGAATTCAAAATGTTTGATCTAATAGTGAATCATCAATGTTCATTGTCTCTAGCGTTCCAATAGATCGGTTTTCTCGTTAGATTCCATAGAGGCAAAACAAAATGAGATTGAACTTCCTTTACTCTTTGATGAATCGACAAGGTCACATCCCTTCTTATACATCAGGCCCCATGCCAGATTTTCATAGCACCATATATTCTTGTTTGCCAAGTTAGCATTTATTCTAGGTTTACAATGAAATGCAAATTATCCCACAAACTTTTGTTTGATGGGGCATAACGTATGCACTACTGTTGGCCCACTTGTTTAACATCCAGTGTGCAAGCAATTGATTATTTGAGAACATGTGGATGCAACAAAGGGTACCCAGTCGTTAGCAAGGCCTAACCAGAAAAGTAATTCGTGATTAATGATTAACAGGCATGTCTGAAGCAAAATGCCTCTTATCTGACAGGCATAAATAATTCTATTGGAACAAAATTCACATCTAGTGGTCTCTTGTGTTGCCTGTTATCCGGAGGAGGTAGGGAATCCTGCTTCCACACAAGAATCTGTCCGAAAAATCTGTCGGAGTAGGGAGTTATGTGAGCAGCAAGACAAAGCCATGTGATTTGGTATAAGCTAGTTTCTCTCATCGTTTCTCTTTGCAGTTCCTCTTGACCAATAATTTCATGTACCATAAGATTTTTTCACATACCCTTTCATCTATATATATACACATGATCAAGTTCACAATGGTATTAGCAACTCAATCTTCACCTTCCCAAGAACATATCAAAGCTATCTCTTTTTTCCAAGTCCTTCGAATTCCTTTTCTAGTTCTTTTATCCCCTTGAGAACATAAATCGATGGGTTTCCGGTTGCCTGGAATTGTTAGCGCGAAGAGAAGTCTCGTCCGGTCTCTATCTAATTCAAAACAGACAGCTTCAAAGACCTTAGATATCCCAAAAGGCTATTTTGCTGTGTATGTTGGGGAGAGACAGAAGAAGCGGTTTGTGATTCCAATATCATACTTGAATGATCCCTTATTCCAAAATTTGTTGAGTCAAGCCGAAGAGGAATTTGGATATGATCATCCCATGGGTGGTATCACAATACCTTGCAGTGAAGACACTTTCCTTCATCTCACTTCCTGCTCAAGTGTGTGAGTGAACACTAAAGAAGTGAATATGTGATCCACTTTCATGTCCAAAAGGATCCTCATTTCGGAACACACTGAGCTACGATGAAGGAGAGGCTATGGTCGATCATCCACTGAATCGACTCACATCCTGTGTTGAGGTGAAGCCGTCGGTACTGAAGCTGCCTGTGATGTGAGCTGAAAGTTAGGAAATTAATGAAGTAGACAAACAAAGATTTCATCACCAAAAACCCAACTTTCCAAAAATGATGACTCAAAAATTTTCGACAGATGCTGTTGACGTGGGAATTTAAATTAACCCAGTTAGTTTTATGTGTTGGCTGCTCTAAGTCAATCAAATGTAAACTGCTCTGCTGCTTTTGAGCAAAATATATTGGAATATTAAATAAAATTTATATCCTGATCCACTTTCTTGTTGGAATTTTTAGATCGTTCCGATGTAGGATTCCAACACTCTCCCTCACATGTAATCCTATTTAGTATTCACATGTAGAGATCTACATATTGGCAATTGAAATTCAGAGGTCCGCTCTATGTTAAGAGTCCAGACTTGTTTTCATTGTTTTCAATGGAACTTAGAGGCCAGCTCTCTGTTAAGAGTCCTAGCTTGTTTCCTTCTTGGTGACAATGCTTGTACGGGGCCGAACCATGACTCGATACCATGTTGAAATTTTTAGATTGACAGGCCCAAGGGACCCACTCTAATGGCATCGATACTGTCATCAACTTCATCACATGCTCAATCAGTCATGTATGGGGATAATCATATTTAAACCCATTATTTTCTTTTCACCCACCGATGTGGGATTCCAACATTTCTTGTCTTAATTTTTTTTATTACTTTTAGCTTTGGTCCCTCAAAAAAATAGCAATGTAATCTGTTATATAATTAAATTATCAATGACAACAGATTTTCTCAAGAAATGAAATTCAATTAGTTATACTTTGTACTTCGTACAAATCTGTGGTGCCTCAAGTAGTAGTGATGGGCCCCCTCTCAAAATAAAATTATGAGATATATGTGCTAGATACAAATATTATGGGGAATTTCTACACTATTTTCCTTTATCTGATAATTTAATCCTTTGACTTGGTTAATTGTTTTCACCGTGTCGGTGCAACTTATTAGAGAAAAAATACTGGGATTGTCGGAGACAAATTTCTGAAAATTTCCAAATAAAGTTACACAACTAAATGGAAATGATAAAAACTGGGAAAACCAATTAAAGGATAAAGAGTGAAAAAATATCTGGATTGTGTGGAAATGTTGTATATGGCAGGAAACTATGGATTGACAAAAGACATAAGCAGTGAAGGATCACATGGCTGCGTCTTCGGTCCAGTCTTAAAAACTTGGTAGCAGTTGAGTCCGTATATTTGTTGGAGGACATTATGCCCTACCAATTTTATGACCTGCAAAATACAAAACGCATTTGAAATTTTAGAGATGTGTGAATAGGAATATCCCCTTGTGACTTCCATCCAATACAGGACTTCAGACGCATATATCTACGATTACTTACAGAACCAGATTAGCTTTCTTTTGATGACATCAGTATTACGGTTTCAGACGTAATATGTACAAGTTAGCGACAGTACGTACCTACTGCATGTCCAATATGAACCACTTTACGTACGTAAAATCTTCACCTGATCGATCTACTTTTTCCTGCAAATTACTCTTTCAAGAGTTCCGTAAACAACTAACTTCCTATTTCAGGTCCATTGATATTGAGCTTCAAATGGTGGTCGAACATTAAAATCAGTACAATTTATTGGTTATACTGCCTCTTTGAATCCTCTATATTGCCAAAACAAAAGAAAACACTGACCATAGCTTGTTGAGATTGACGGTATACTAGATGAAACGACAAACCCACATGCTACGGGTGGGTTTTGGTTTGGGTAGAGCCATGACGTGTGGAGTGCCGTTGGTGTCTTCATTGATGTTGGTATTCTCAAGAGTTTGCTAACTCAATACCAAAATAGATGTGGGTGATAAGTTTACAAACTCTATCACACCTCTCACTTTCACTCTCAATAAAATTGGACAAGGAAAGAAATAGAGAAATAGAGAAATAGAGAAATAGAGAAAGGAGGGAAGCAACAAGCTTTGGTAAAACACTTGCACTTCGATATATGAAAAGAGAGTTTACAAACTCAATAGCTTACAAGCTGAAATTAAATGAATGGGAAATGGGATTCGGATGGGATGATCTAAAGCTTAGCAAGATGGCCTATTTATACAAAACAGAAATTAATAAACAATGCAACAACACATGCAATGAATGGGGTGTTTAACATCTTTACACCCTTTAAAACACATGCAGGAACTTTGGACAGTCTAGCACTCATATGCAGCTATCTTTCCAGCTTGCAATCAACACTCTTTCGGCTAATACATCACATGGAGGAAGCAATGATCTTTGTAGTTGCTGAAAAACACCCTGGAAAGAAACTGACAGCTTGTTTTAACCATTAACAACCTGTTTTTATTTGATTTTCCAACACACCTCCTCAAATTAAAACGCCTTTATCCTTAGCATTTCACGTAGCAACTTGAATGGCTCAACTGGCAGTGGCTTAGTGAAGATGTCTGCCACTTGTTCCTTCGTGTGACAATAGACAAGCTCAATTGTCTTTTGCTTCACATGATCCCTCAAAAAATGGAACCTGGTATCGATGTGCTTACTCCTTCCATGTTGGACTGGATTCCTAGCAAGCTTGATAGCTGAGATGTTATCCACATGAATCACAGTCGATTCCACTTGTGGATGACACACTGACTTCAACAGATTTCTTAACCAAATTGCCTCACACACGGTTGAGGCTACATCAACGTACTCGGCTTCACACGATGACAAAGCAACAATTGATTGCTTCTTTGAAGTCCATGAGAAAGCTGTTGATCCTAGAAAAAACACATAGCCAGTTGTGGTTTTCCTTTCATCTTGATCACCTCCCCAATCACTATCTGAATAACCAAATAATTTTGCATCTTCACCAAAATTATAAAACAGACCATAGTTTAGAGTACCTCTTATGTACCTCAAAATTCTCTTGGCGGCCAGCCAATGAGACTCCCTTGGTGTTTCCATGTATCGACTCACGAGTCCAACACCATAAACTATATCAGGTCTTGTGATTGTAAGGTACCTTAGGCTTCCAACCAAGCTTTTGTACACGGTTGAGTTTACAAACTCACCTTCTCCTTCCTTAGACAGCTTCAATCCAGTTGCAACTGGAGTGTTGACAATATTGCACTTGTCCATATTGAATTTCTCCAATATATCTCTCATGTACTTTTGTTGAGAAATGTAGATACCATCACTTCCTTGCTTCACTTCTATGCCAAGAAAGTATGACATTAATCCATTGTCAGTCATCTCGAATTCACTGAACATGGATTGCTTGAACTCACAGAACATTGCTTCATTGTTTCCTGTAAACAACAAGTCATCTACATAGAGACAAATAATTAAGAACTCCCCTTTTGCACCATTCTTCATGTAAACTGAATGCTCGTATGGACATTTCTGAAATCCATTTTGATGAAGGTAGTTGTCAATCCTTGAGTTCCAAGCTCATGGTGCTTGCTTGAGGCCATACAAAGCCTTCTTCAAACGATACACCTTATCTTCTTTTCCCTGTACTTGGAAGCCTTCTGGTTGTTCCACGTACACTTCTTCCTCAAGAACTCCATTAAGGAAGGCTGACTTGACATCTAATTGATAAATTTTCCATTTATGATGAGTGGCAAGAGAGATTAGCAATCTTACCGTGTCAAGTCTTGCAACTGGAGCATAGACTTCATCATAGTCCACTCCATACTTCTGTTTGTAGCCCTTTGCTACAAGCCTTGATTTGTATCGATCCACACTCCCATCTGTAGTGCGTTTGATCTTGTAAACCCACTTGACACCAATAGCCTTCTGATTTGGTGGGAGCTTTGTCAACTCCCAAGTGTCATTCTTCTCGATGGCATGGATCTCTTCTTCCATGGCTTTTTTCCAACAATTTTCTTCCACAGCTTCATTGAATGAGAGAGGCTCATGGTCTGCATAGAAGCAAAAAAAATTGGTTTCTTCTTCTTCTTGTCCATAAATCTCTATGAGACTCCTTAACCTCACTGGAGTTGAGGAGCTGCTTTCCTCACTAGATGTAGGACCACTCCTTGCAATTCTGTGCACTGGAGTTGTTGTGATTGTTTGAGCAGGTTGTTGCTCAACAGGTGGTACAACTTCTGGTTCTTCAAAATCAGTGGAGACGATCTTCTCTTTACTGACTTCTTTGTTGTTCCACATCCATGCCTCTTCCTCACTGAAAATGACATCTCTACTAACCACTAGTTTGCCAGTTAGTGGGTTGTAGAGCTTGTACGCCTTGGACTCTTCACTATAGCCCACAAACACACACTTCTCACCTCTATCATCAAGTTTCCTCCTCTTGGCTTCTGGAACTTGAGCATATGCAACACACCCAAAAATTCTTAGGTGTGTAACATTCGGCTTGTATCCACTCCAAGCCTCTTGTGGTGTCATCCTCTTGACACTCTTTGTTGGACATCGATTCAACAAATAAATCGAACAAGCTACAGCTTCTGCCCATAACTCTTTTGGCAAATTCTTCTCCTTAAGCATGGACCTTGTCATGTCAAGGATGGTTCGATTCTTTCTTTCGGCTATCCCATTTTGCTGTGGGGTATAGGCAGCAGTAAGTTGATGCCTAATTCCTTGCTCTTTGCAATATGCTTGGAAAGCATTGGAGGTGTACTCTCCACCTCTATCTGATCTCATAGCCACAAGCTTGTGGTTGCTTTCAGCCTCTGTGAGTGCCTTGAACTCCTTGAAGATTCTTAGGGCAGCCGACTTCTCCTTGAGAAAGTAAACCCAAGTCTTCCTACTAAAATCATCAATGAAAGTAATAAAATACCTATTACCTCCATAAGACATGGGATCCAATGGACCACATATATCTATGTGCACCAACTGCAGTGGTGCCCTTGCTCTCCATGTATCACCAACAGGGAATGATAGTCGTGCTTGCTTGCCAAGCACACAACCTTCACATACTTGGCGTGTGGCTTCAATCTGGGGTAAACCACGAACCATTCCTCCACTTGACAACAACTTTAGGCCATTGAAATGAAGATGGCCATACCGAAGATGCCATTTCCATGACTCATCTTCCATCACACCGATGTTGCAACTCCCAATCTTTGTGTTCAACTTCAACGGGAACATTCGGTTCTTTGACATTTGAACACGTGCAATAAGTTTTCTCCTTGCATTCCTGAGAGTGAGAAACATATTCTCCATATGTATAATGTACCCTTTCTGGAGCAGTTGACCAATGCTTAGAATGTTGCTCTTCATACTTGGTATGTAGTAGGTATCGGAGATGTATTCTTCTTTACCATCCTTCTGGATGATCTTGATCTTCCCTTTGCCTTCA